CATCCATCCATCCATCCATCCATCCATCCATCCATCCATCCATCCATGCATCCATCCATCCATCCATCCATCCATTCATCCAGCCAGACAGCCAGCCATCCGTCAGTCCATTCCCCGCATCTCCCACAGTGACTGCTGGATATGGGCACCAGTGGCACCAGTGACCCTTGCGACCCAAAAAGGAAGAAGCTGGTAAAGATAATGGATGGTTGGATGGATGGATGGTTGGATGGATGGATGGATGGATGGATGGATGGATGGAGGGATGGGGCCTGTCCCAGTTTGAGTATTGTTCTGACCCAGCTGGTTTGCAATGTTTGTTAGAGGTGCTGAAGTTGCACCAGAGTAAGAAGGATCTCCCAGTTTCATCGTACTCAAATCCTTCAGCGTCAGCAAAGATGGTTCTGTCTGAACACTCAAGTCTTTACGTCAAAAATGAAAAATACCAGAGTTGGACTACCTTTAGCTAAGAGGTTGAAAGTCATCTTTGTGTTAATGGGCCTGTTTCTGTTAGACATGAGTGAGAACATTTTTAAAAAGTTTTTCTCTCTCTGTAGAAACCCAGCAGCGGGCGAGGAACAATCCATCTTTGTACCAAATAAAAGCAGCGCTGGTAGTTTCAGGCTGCGAGATGGTGTCGTCCTCCACATGTACGTCAGCTCCTCGCCGTGTGGAGACGCCAGACTCAACTGCCCCTACGAGACCACAGCTGCACGTGAGACAAACATCTCAACATGTCATGAAAGCATTTTCCAGCACGCAATTAAACATTTGTCTCAAACCCGTCTGAACACTATAGTCTTAAATGGACATTTCAGCAGTTAAACAACTGTACAATGCTTTTAGTTTAATTTAATTTAATTTCATGTAATTATTTCTGTCAGATCCCAGCAGGAGGTTTTGCTGTCACCTCAGGGTGAAGGTGAATGGGGGTGAGGGAACACTGCCCGTCAGAGCCCATCAGAAACTGGACGGTGCTGCACCATATAAACCTGCCACCAGCATGTCCTGCACTGATAAAATAGCAAAGTGAGTTTCATAAATAATCCCCTTCTTATTCTGTCAGCTGAACAGTGGCTCAACTACCCTCATGGTTCTGCTCGTTTAATTAAAAGTTAACAGTTTGTCTGGACAGGTGGAGCGTCGCGGGCCTCCAGGGGGCTCTGCTGTCTCACCTGGTGGAGCCGATTTACCTGAGCAGCCTGACGGTGGGAACACTGAGCCACACGGGTCACCTGGGCAGAGTCATGGCGTGTCGCCTGGCGCCCGTTAAACACCTGACCCTCCCCTACCGACGACAGCCGCTGCTGCTTGGCTGTAGGTCCACATGAGAATTTGAAATGAATATATCAATAAAAGTGTCAAAAACTGAGTTTAAGTTCATTACACTTTAATATTTGCACTTTAGATTATGGAAACTTCATGTGGGTGAAACTCAAACAAGTTCTACAAATTGATTTAACTGTTTCATGGGAAACTTTATTAGTTAAAAGCGTTTTTTCTAATCCTCCATGCAGGTCTGAGCAGCAGGGAGGCTCATCCTGCAGGGAAGACATCCAACGTAAGCGTGAACTGGAGCTGCAGTGATGGAGGCCTGGAGGAGGTCAGCACCACCACAGGAAGGAGGAGGGACTCGGGGACTCCATCACGGCTCTGTAGACGCTCCCTGTTCACCTGCTGGCTGAGGCTGCAGGAGCAGGTGACACATTCAAAGAGCTGGAAACATCAACTTGTACAAATTTAACTGAGAAGTTTTACTCATTGATGTAGGATCCATCTGCAGATATTCAAAACGTTGTTTTGGTTGTTACGTCACAACAACAAACTATTTTTCTGTTCTTCTTTCTCAGTTAAATGGACCTGTTTTAGGCCCTGAAGGCACCACAGAGATGTATTATTGTTCCAAGATGGCCGCTGGACATTACCAGAGGGCGGTGCAACAGTTCAGCAGCTCTCTGCAGGGTGGAGGTCCGGGAACATGGATCAGAAAACCACCCGAGTCCAGCCACTTCAGTGTCGGCGTGTGAAAAACTGAGCGCCAAAGACTGAACATTTCATTTTATTTTGTTCTAGGAAACTCCAAAGAAGGAGAAAAAATTTAAATTTAGTATCAGTCATCTTTTGAGGAGTCTACTTGGGACAGACAACGTTGTGAATTAATCTGCTGCTGGGTCAATAAAAACAGAGTGTAACGCCAAGTCGTTCCTGTGTCCAACAGTTACAGAACAGAAACTGTTTATTTCATTTACAATCAAACTAAATATCTGAAAATACTTTCAAATAGGTCAAACTTTGCTCAAAACTAGTGCAAAGGTGAGCAGGCCATCTGACGCATGAGGAGGCAAAGTTCCAGTTTAAATGAATAAAATACATAGTTTTTATTTGACCCCACCCATTAAACGTAAACCCTACGTGCATGAAGGCAACGGGAGACTCCTAGTACAATAAGTACTTAAGTTTATTTTAAATAAATAAAATGCTGACGGGGCAACAAAAACCTACTTTGAGGGAGATGACAGAGGAGCAGAACATGTAACCATAGGAGGACAATCCACAGACAAATGACGGACACAAGGATGCTGAATAAATACAGATACTGATGAGACCGAATGACAAACACCTGGAGGGACTGAGATTAGACACAGGTGTGACAGGAGCTGAACCACGAGGACGAGGAACACTGAGAGGTGCACGAAACGTGAGGATACAGAGAAGACAGGGCAAAACCCAGAAGCCTCCTCACACATCCTTATCATGTTTGGCCTGTACCTTACATCAGCTAACTTATACTATTTTAACAATCTATTAAAACGGTAAACTCATTTAGGGCTAAACAAATTAGACTATTAGAATTTGAATGTTATATTTTTAACTTTTTCCTCTGAAATGAAGAGAGATCAGATCCTTAAATTTTACTTCAGCACATTTAATTTACCTTTTAGCTATTATTTTAATTTTAACTTTTAGCTACTGTTTTGCCAATTTTGGCCTCAGTTTTGCTTGTTTGGTTGTAGCTTTTAGCTAATGTGCAACTACTCTTTTTTTAGTTTTAGCTTTTGTCAACCTTTTTATTTAGCTCATTTTAATACCTCTGCCGTTAGTTTTAGCTCTCAAATCAAGTGTTTTGATGGTTTTAGTTTGGATCTATTATTTAGCTTTTATCTGCCAGTTTGCTAAATTTAGCTACAGTTTGTTGGTTTTAGCTTTTTTGTTTAGCTAATTTTGATTTTTGTTTAGCTAATGTTAACTTTCTGAAACTGTCTGATGTGTTTTAGCTTTTAAGTAATGTTTTGTCAGGCTTAGCTTTTAGCTAATTTTTTGCTAATTTTAGCTACCATATTGTTGGTTTTAGCTTTTGGTTGGTATTTGTTTAACTTATTTTGACTGTTTTGCTAATTTTACCTTTATGTTACTGTTTATTTTAGCTTTTAGCTTCTTTTTTTCTGGTCTTGGATTTTAGCTGCTGCTTTGGTTTAGCTACTGTTCTGTTGGATTTAATGTGGCCTACTATTTTTTGTTTTTACGTTTGTTGTGCTAACTTTTACTTTTGGCTTTTGATAAGCTAATTTTAGCATTTAGTGACTTTTCAGTTATTTTTTTTATTTTAGCCACTGTTTTTGCTAAATTTAGCTTCTAGCTAATGTTATTGTTTTAAATTTTAGCCACTGCTTTTGATCATTTTGACTTTTGTATTAGCTTTAACAAGTTATTTTCCTTTTCAGTAATGATTAGCACAATATTCAGCACTTAAAGTGCACACCTGCACTCTGGTTTTGGAGGTTTTTAGATGAGGACATTTTGGACAGTCTCAAATGAAAGTTGCTGTAAAAAGAATGGGAACAGTTTTTTTTTAACCTCTAATTAAAGCATTTAGTTAAACCCTTCAATTGGTAGTATGGTTCCCCTCTGTGCACTTTATTCCTTGTTCTCTTCAGGACTGTGGTTTGCATACTGGTGTAACCAACAGATAAAGAACTGCACCATCTACGTATGATGGTTTTCACATCAGGGCTCAGGCAAGTTATTTTTGTAAGAAAGAGAAACTCACACAGTCTTTCAGTGAGAGGTGCAATGGCACAAAAAGTGTTCAGTTGGACCTGAAACCTTTTGTTGTTCATCTACCTGAACAATCTGGTTCTAGTGACTGTTCCCTGTGGACACAGCTCCTGTATGAGCTGCATTAAAGGCTTCTTGGAGGAAGAGGATCAAACAGGGATTCACAGCCGCCCTCGGTGCAGAAAACCGTCACACGACAGCCTAACCTGAGCAAAAACAGTGTTGTAGGTGATTTAGTAAAGCAGCTTAAGAAAATTCTCATCCAAGCTGCTCCTGCTGATCACTGCTGTGCTGGACCTGAAGATGTGTCCTGTGATGTCTGCTCTGGAAGAAAACTGAAAACCATCAAGTCCTGTTTAGTCTGTCTGGTCTCTTACTGTGAGGAACACCTTCAGTCTCATTATGAGACAGCTCCACTTCAGAAACACAAGCTGGTGGAGCCCTCCAAGAACCTCCAGGAGAACATCTGCTCTCATCATGATGAGGTGATGAAGATGTTCTGCCGTACGGATCAGAAGTGTATCTGTTATCTCTGCTCTGTGGATGAACATGGAGGCCACGACACAGTCTCAGCTGCAGCAGAAAGGACTGAGGATGGATGATGGATGGATGATGGATGGATGATGGATAAATGGATTATGGATGGATGGATAGATGGATGGATGGATGAATGATGGATGATGGAGGATGGAGGATGGATGGATGATGGAGGATGGATGATAGATTAATGATGGATGGATGGATGATGGATGGCAGCACGGTGGTGCAACTGGTAGAGCTGCTGCCTCTCAGCGAGCAGGTCCCTGGTTCAAATCCCGGTCCAGGGGCCTTCTGGGTGGAGTTTGCATGTTCTCTCCGTGAATGCGTGGGTTTTCTCCGGGTACTCCGGTTTCCTCCCACAGACCAAAAACATGCATGTTAGACTGATTGGTAACTCTAAATTGTCCCTAGGTGTGAGTGAGAGAGTGAATAGTTGTTTTTCTCGTTTGTCTCTACGTGTCCCTGTGATGGACTGGAGACCCGTCCAGGGTGTACCCCGCCCCTCGCACAGTGATTGCTGGACATGGGCACCAGCGACCCCCGTGACCCAAAATGGAATAAGCGGGTAAAGATAATGGATGGATGGATGGATGGATGGATGGATGGATGGATGGATGATGGATGGATGGATGATGGATGGATGGATGGATGGATGGATGGATGGATGGATGAATGGAGGGTGGATGGATGATGGATGGACAGATGGACAGATGATGGAAGGATGAAAGGATGATGGATGAATGGATGATGGATGGACAGATGATGGAAGGATGAAAGTATGATGGGTGAATGGATGATGGATGGATGGATGGATGGATGGATGGATGGACGGATGCTGGCTGGCTGGATGGAGTCTGAACAGTTGTACCGAACTGTCCTGAGGAAGGTGAAGACCTGCCTCCATCTACAGGCAGAGTTAAGGAACTGTTTTTGTTTATTGTTTTTTTTTATTGTTTGTTTTCCTCTTCATGTCATCTAGATTGTCTCCATTAATCTGTTTATATTAATCCCAAATATTCCCAAAGATTTTTTTTTCAGTGACCTAGTATTTATTCAAGGATAATGTTTAATGTTGTTTTTGGTTCCTTTTAATTACTCATGTTCCAAAATAAATGTACTTTAAATTTATATGAATCCAAATAAAAAACAAAATGCCACGTTCACTTGTGTTGTATCTTTAACATGAAAAACATTTTTAAATCTTCGCTCTGAAGCGCTCGGTGTCTTTCTTCGTCCACACTAACGTCGAGCCTGTCGTCCTGTCCTCTGTTTTCAACTTCCCCATCGTTCTGTCCGTTCCTTCTTCCAGTCTGTGAAAAAACGCTCGGCTTGTTCAGAACGTTCCAGCTGTGTCTTTGGGTTTTTCTAACTTTTATTTTTTAAATCAAACTTTATTTACATTTTTTAATTGAAATGAATAGAAAACATTTAAAATCCTTCAAGATCTTTGTGCTCTTTAAAATCGACCTCAGCGCCTTCATTTTGTCTTATGTCTCCTCGTGGGTCCTTTCATGTCCTCCTTGTGTCTTCATGAGACATTTTAGATGTTTTACGTTTCCTTCAGATTCCTGTTTGAAACGTTGAGCACAAAGTTTGGTCCTTCATGTTTCCAGCTTCTGTTGCAACGAGAACTCTTTAAGGGAAGTTTCCTGCATCATCTCCTCATGTGAACGAGGAGTGCCACTCTTTTTTTCTGCCTGCCTCTTCCGTGTGATCCTCCCAGTTCACCAGTTTTATTAAAACAGCTGGATTTCCTGCAGATGTTTTGTTTGTTATGAAGCTCTCTGCACGTCCTGTGTTGAACCTCCATGCTGATCTTCCTGCTGCTCCCTGTTCCCTGCTCAGCTCTCAGTCTTACCCTCGGTTGTTCTTCAGTCTTACACCTGTTTCCAATCAGTAATCACCCAGGCTGCTACTGTCCTCCCCCTCCCTCCAACTCAAACCATCTCTCGTTTTGTTTTTATTTATTAATAAACAATCTTCACTTTACTCGAGCTCATCATGTCTGCCTGCATTTAGATCAACCACCACATTCACAGCTCCATCTCCTACACCTGTTGATACAGAGGAGCAGTGGCTCAACTCCGAGCTGAGGCCCCCCCATCCAGCACGGAGGAGGCTCATTTTGGCCGACTGTGTCCAGGATCTCGTTCTTTCCGTTTTGATCCAGACCTCATGACCACAGGTGAGGACTGGGACGTAGACAAACCAGTAGATCCAGAGCTTTCCCTTTTGACTGAGCTCTTTCTTCACCACAACAGACCAAAGCAACGCCCTCATTACTGAGGACGAGGCCCCAACCTGTCCCTCCATCTCCTGCTTCCTCCTCACTCAGGAACAAGAGGAAATAAAGATCGGCTGAAGTCAGTTTGACATCATCAGCTAAAACATCTTAAAGAAACACCTTCTACATTTTTGAACATCACAGTCTACAGATAATAAATGATGATGATGATGATGATGA